GTTCACATGCATGTCCCCTCCGCCTAATTCAATCGCTAGCGAAAAAGACAGAAAAAGACAGAAAAAGACAGAACTATCACACTTTCTGGCAAATACTTACATTTCAGTCATTTCAGAATGACACGAGGTAAGTCAAGTTGAAAAAAAGCCCAACTGACATGCCTAAATTTAGACGCTGCATAGTTTTACACTGCCCATCACTCACATAAGTTTCTCCTTTTTCCAGAATGAAAAGGGCAACCTGATTGTACAGGCAACCTTTGCAAGGTGACATGAGCTGTCATGTTAAGGGAAACATCCAGTAGAACCAGAGCAGAGTCCACTTACAAAATGTCCACTTTTGGACAATGTGTACCTAAAGTTGCTCCATGGTTTCACTGACCTCTGTCATAAATAATAAGAAGAAGATAACTCTGGAGTTTTTTCTCCAGAACCAGTTCTTGGAACCCGTCTGGGTCTGGGCAAGCCACGTAGCATTCAGCTGGCTGCCAGTTTCGGGGAGAGCGCTTGCCCTCGATCGCCAGCTGGCTTCCTGGCAGACGCAGTCGGCTCTCCTAGAGCGGCGAGAACGTTCTTGCCGCCCTCTGGTCACCACTTTGCCTCCAGAGGTGGAGGCCATCTCCTCGTCCTCGTTACCGGATAAAGCTGTGAGCGGGTGCTTGAACTGGCGGCCCAACTCCAGGCTCGCAGACTCCAGACTCCAGACTCGCTCCCCCGACTCCTCCAGTCCCGGCTTGTCCGACTCCTCCAGTACTGCCCCCCCGACTCGCTCCCCCGACACCCACGACTCCTCCAGTCCCGGCCCCTCGACTCGCTCCCCCGACTCCTCCAGTCCCGACCCCCGACACTCCCCCCTGACTCCTCCAGCCCTGGCTCCCCGACTCGCTCCCCCGACTCCTCCAGTCCCGACCCCCGACACTCCCCCCTGACTCCTCCAGCCCTGGCTCCCCGACTCGCTCCCCCGACTCCTCCAATCCCGACCCCCGACTTGCTCCCCCGACTCCTCCAGTCCCGACCCCCGACTCGCTCCCCCGACTCCTCCAGTTCCGGCCCCCCAACCTCGCTCCTGGTTTTAAGAGCTCATCTTAAAACTCTCAAGGTGGGCCCATAAGTGTGGTACGACTTGAGCCGTCCCCAAACCGGCTGAGAGAAGACGTCTTGAACTGCACCGTTTGATCGTTATAATTGGTATTAATATATTGTCTTAAACGTAGATTATAAAAAAAGCAACTTCCCAAACAAGTTACATATATTCTGTGGGGTTCACACGAGAACATTGTGGTCCCATCTTATTGTCACAACATATTTTTACATTCCCGAGATCTAAAAAAAAAAGAAAAATAAGAAGGTTATGAAAGTCATTGAATTAATTTTGTTCATGAATTGATTACCCATCTCTTCAGCAATGTGTTACACTATACACACACAAATGAAATGTGAAATCAGTAAAATACAAATTTACTGAAATGTGTAATAAGTGATGACATTAGTGATACATTGCACATTTCAGTAAATGATTTGTTACTGAAATTTAAAGATGCAACTAAATTTTGAAACAGATTTTCAATCAAATGAATCAATTTGAATCAGTCTTGTGTTGGTGGACAACCAGAGGGGTCTGTGCAGATCAAATAGGACCATCGTGCCACCAAGTGGACAGCTAGATGATGACAGGCAAATAGATAAATGGATATGAAGATGGAT